TTTGAGTTAAGAATTCGTAAAATTTTTCTTTTTAAATCTAATAAAAGATTACTCATAAGATTGTCTACCTTTATCAATAAAAAAATCTCTACCGGAAAGTCAAATTAAATTTTTATGAGCGTTTGAAATTCAAATTTTTACAACATTGGATATTCACTCGATTTCTCATGTGGCAATTTCCTTTTTTTGTTGTAATTAAAAAATGAATTACTGTAGATACATGAAAATTTCACTGAATGTTTATATTAGCATTTCCTATACACCATACAATTTTGAAAATATTTGACTCTTTTTGAGCCGTTTACGGACATTTTCAGTGTTCAATTTTTTTAGTTTTTTTTTTCTATAAATATCAATTAAGTTTATCTGTTGGGCCAAAAAGTGTAAAAATTTAATACAAGGCTCCTGATATATTGTTACAATATCAGTTGAAAAATATTAAAAATACATAGGCACAATTTTTTTTTATAAGCATTTTAACATCGAATTTTGACAGAATTTTCCAAAATCTCGAAAATTATTAATCATCGTAATTAATAAATTATAAAATGTTCAGTTTTATAGCTAAGGATTGAAAATTTAAAACAAGATTCCACGTAAGTAGTTAATTCTCTTACCGAAAAATCTAAAAAATATACAATCACAGTTTATTTTTATAGTCATTTTATGTTCAAATTTGGACGAAATTACATATTAAAAAACCTAGTTATTTTGTTGTGATTATATAATATTATTCGTGGGGTACTTGAAACTTCTAAAGTGTACTATTATATATCTATGATAGTATCAGGGTTTGTTATTGATGTTGATGTATAACGTGTTATAAGTACCTAATGGATATTGTGATAATGTGATATGATTAATTTGGAATTTATTATAGGTCAATTTTTTTTTAATACCATAGATATGTATATAATTTGTCTTAAACCTAGACTGACATACCGTCTTCGCTCAGATTCGTTTTTCTTATACAATGATATTGTATCATTGAATTCAAATTTGAAAGCATCCATTATACAGTGACCCACTTGTAATCTACTGTACAGCAGAGCGACATCCACTTACCCACCTTTTTATTTTAGATCCCTTTAGTCTTAAAGTAACCAACTTTAAAATAAATTTTATTCGAAGATTGAAGCATATTTTCTACTGCTCATAAAGTGACAAGATTTTGTAATACATCCACTGCTTCACTCAGTATGTAAAATAACGAAAATTGTACTTACGTTTATAAACTATTACCTAATATTCATTATTAAATCAATAATTATGTCAACAGTGTTATAAATAGGCAATACCATGTATTGTATTTTATAATATTGTTGACATGGTAATCATGATTTGATTTAATGATTTATAGATATAAATTAATACACAAATTAACTTGAAACCGTTCAAAAATATATTATCAATTATTTTATTCTCATAGTTTTGGTTATTATAATACAATTAAGGCGTCAGTGCAATAACCAGATAGCTCCATTTATTTTTAAAAATTATGTTTTTATACATCTAAAATAAAGAAACAATCGGACGACATTTCTGTGTAATATTGTAATAACCTGAGAGCTCCGATTATCAATCAGGTATTAATTATTATGTATTAATTATTATTATATTATATAATGTAATTAAAACAAATTACTAATAACATTATATAAATAAATTATAAAGTAGTTGTAAATAAAAGCTAAGAATCGGTATGAAATTATTTATCATTGAATTCAAATTTAACACATCCATTACCTACTCAATGACATCTCGACAAGATAATAGATACTCACACTCAAAACTTATTTATCTATCAATTTTTAATGTTATTTGTGTAACAGAATACTACATTTAATTAATTTTACCCAATATGTAACACATTTCTAAATACATTTCAGATTAACATATTATACTAGAAATATAATATGTACCTAGGTATTTAAAAATACAATTATTTTATTGTTCAACCTATATGAATAACATTGGAAAATATTTTTATGCATTATTTTATAACAAAAATAATATTGAAATGTGATACACAGATATTGTCACATGGGAGTACTCTTAAAATTGGTAGTTATAATATTTAGTTATAATTATTTTTAGAATAATTTATTACTATGCCATCAAAAATTGTATGTGTGATGACCATAATATGGCGAGTGTATTTTTTTTTTTTTTTTAATGATTTTTTTACAACGTAGAATCAAAACAATATAAATACAGAAAAAAAAAATGAAAAAAAATACAAATAATTTGTTGAGCAATGAGGACTAAATATTGTATATTAAAAAAATACATTTCGTAAAAAAAATTGCAAAAAGGCTCCGGGGAGATTCGAACTCCCGATCTCCTGTTTACTAGACAGGCGCTTTAACCAACTAAGCCACGGCGCCGTTGGCTACGCTCCCTAAAACTAAGAAAAATTTTATAAAAATATGTTAAATGTCGGGTAGTATTAACACTATGGTAGGTATCTAATAAAAACGTATCTTTTTTAGCAGATAATAGTGTACAGGTGTAGAAGTAGTACCCATATAATATAATATTAATAACGTATAACTTTAGTGTTAACTTATAAACATACTTCGTAACAATTTGTTAGGTAATTTATTAAATTATTTTTATCGTAAGAATCCTGTGTAGTTAGCATTCATCCACCAACATATTTATTATATTTTACTTATTAGTCCCATATGCATTGTGTGAATCTACCATCGTAATTAGGTAGGTGTGTCTAGTTAGTCTAGTGAACACGGATAGACAGATATGTTATTTACCTAATATAGTCGTAACAGTAATATATGTACTATGTAGGTAAATCACTTTAAACCACTTTAAACCATTACATAACATCATAATAAATTATGTTTAATATTAATAATATTGGTACATACCTACTAGTGTTACTACCCAAGTACAACATTATAAAATATTACCTATATAAGTACCTGTTTACTATTTAGTAGCTTGAATAGAAATATAGAATGTATCTGCATAATTTCCTATTAATGTTAAATGTATTATAGACTATAGTTAACAACGGCGCTATATCAGTGTAAAGGTACCTACCTATCTAAGTTTTAGTTTACATCAGTCACTGGTAAATGACATCGGTATATCTCTCTTTGAGAAACTTATTCGACGAAGATTTACACATGTGTAGGATTGGATATGGCTCTCAGTTTATTTTTGAATGCAATTTAAGCTACATAGGTAAGTAGGTGCATTAAACTTTTCTGATATTTCTAACAATCTGAAATTTTTGTTGAAATCGATACCTACAGTAATTTTTTGAGTCTATAAACAATAAACTACAACATAGGTAGTGCATTAGTACGAATATAGTAACCAATATAAGTATATACCAATCCTATGTAGGTACTAGGTACAAACAATAAAACATTCGAATTTCGTGAGCAAAAACGAAATGTATGTGTGATTCGTGTAAACCTAAGTTAGCTTAGGCTGCCTAACCAACATATAGCCATATGGGAGTTGAAAAACTAAGATCTAACAATGAGTCTCAAAGTCATATTATCAAATGATGTGTGCAAAGTTTGGTGCCAATTAGTTCAGTATAGTTTCTAAGTCTATATTATGTAAGCCCCAAACGTACGTAAGTACCCTACCTTTATACCTAGTGTGTTATGGCACGGTATGCTATCAAACTTTGAATCTATATATATTATTATAGAATATAGTTTATATAAATATAACTACCAACACCTTTAGCCTTTAGCTTCACTATCTGTATTGTACATTTCAATTCATACCTAATAGGGTAAGTAATTGTACTAACCTATTAAGTTGTGGTGTTATAGTATTATACATAGTATATTATATATATAGTACCTATTAGATAGGTCTTAATTTAACAAATAGGTATTGTAAGTAATATCAATTCTTAAAATGGTTAATGTGTTCTAAGGCTTAGATGCTTAGTCATACCTATTTGTACATAAGGTATACTATAATAAATTATTTAGTATTTAGTTAGGTAGGTATATTGTACCCACTACCCAGTAGCGTGAATAGCGCGAAAGAGGTTAGATTATGTTTTTGTTTCTGGCCGACCTACTAATTAGTTATTTAAGTTATTATTACTTATTAGTTATTGCTTAATATATTATACAATATAAAATACAATACAATTAGCCATTTATTTATATACAATTAGCCATTAGATAAGTTCTAAGTATTAACTATAATACAGAGCACATGTAAAAGCGTATCAAATGTGGTATCAGTAAACTTGTATGTTGTACTGTTATAGTGTTATCACATATTAGTAGGTTATCAGCTGCTTCAAACTGTATAAATATAATGCATATACAATAAACATATAGGTAGGTATTATACAGTTTTATAACTTATAAGATATTGACAATTTTGGAAGGGTTTACCCCTAAAGCCCCCTTATTTGTGTATTTGGTTTTAACCTCACAATTCATTAAAATGTATTATTATTTATTGCTAAATATTTGCCTAGGTAATATTTAACTTCTAACATCCTTTTTCCCAAATCCCAATAGAGAAGCTCCCCATTGAAAATTCTTGAGCACGTCACCGGTTGTACCTATATTACGCTAAGTACACTATTAAGGGGTCTGGGTCGAAATCCCGACATGTAAAATCCCGACATACCAAATCCCGACAAATCACAATTCACAATATCGACAGTTTAAAATCCCGACAGGTCACAGTACCGACTGTTTAAAATCCCGACAAATCATAATACCGACGGTTTAAAATCCCGACCAAACATATTTACATAATATTATCATGTTCATTATTCAACAATTTCATTAAAAAACTCAAACAATACATTACACTACAATTACATTATATTTATACTATTATATTCGTTAATAATTATTTAAAATATGTATATTTAATATTTATATAAGTACATCATAATTTATATTATTATTTTCATTATTGGATTTAATATTCGGAATGTGACCGCCGATCGTCATTGAACAAAAAAATTAAAAAAATATATAAAACTACATCGATATATTATGAGCCAAACCCCGTAAAAATTCTAAGACACTCCTATTTGATATATCTTTATATACCGTCATTATTCTTTTCTCTCTGTCAATTATTTGTTTTTTCTGTTTCGGTTTTGGTTCTCCACGATTAATGCATTCAATTTCCAAGTCAACTCGTTGTTGTTCTTTCTGAAGCTCCTCTATCATTGTATAGACTCCAACATGAGGTTTACCAACCAAAGTTGACCAACGTCGATGCCAAGCTTCGACAATATTTTGTGTCCTAGGAATTCCGTGGTCCATTAATTCTGACACAGACCAAAGTTTGGGCGGAAAAAGTGGGTCTGTGCGTATAATATTACCATTTCTTTGGTTTCGGCGACGAATCCGGCCATGTACATAATTGTCTTCAAACCATTGGACAACTTCTTCAGCTTCAGGAGGAAATGTCGCTTTAAGTTCATCAAATGCTGCAGGTATATTTTCAGATGGAATAAAATCCAGGGCCCAGGGCAAGCATTTGTCTTATTTTTAAACTAAACTCTTCGTTTGTACCATATAAATTCACCAAGCCAGATGATTGAATTTTTCTCCAAGTACTTTGAGATAAATGAAAAAAACATGCCTTGTTTTTCACGTTAGGAAACTCAGCTTTTGATGCCTTTATTGCCGCCTGTTCAAAATCTGTCATTATCCTATATGGATTTAGTTGCCCGCCATTATCTTCGCAAAAATCAATTAAGTCTTGAAAAAGACGTATATACAGGGTTTCAGATTTTGATGACATTAAAGCATATGCTAGTGGCAAAACTCGAAAATTGTCTCCTCCTACAGGTGCATGTATGGTATATAGCTGTCTAAATATTGTCGGGACTGTCCAAAACGTACCATCCATAATTAAATAACGAGCATGCGACAGCCGTTGAACATTATTTTTAGTACAAAATAGTAGAAGTTTTTCATCATTAATGGTTGAATCTTTAATTAAAAATAACTAACATATCAATAAGGAATGTTGACACCCATAGACGTCTATAACGTATATAATGTCAAATACCCACGAATAATATTTTTAAATTTCAACATATATTATATAAAATAATATTAATATTATATAGTATACATATAATATCATTTTTATAAGATATATCAATTTTGAAAAACTACTTATACGAAATATTTATTTTGGCGCAAATGATATGTCATTTTCGTACCTTTGGCGCTTATGTCATATAACCAATTTATTAATTTGTCTTTCCGGTTAATGAAATAATAACTTACCTGTGCAGGCCATTAGTTTTCTTTTTTCGCAGCACCAATAATATATGTCCTCTCGATTCTTGTCTTTTGTCATTAAATATCCCTTGACACATATTTTGGCATTTCTTTTTTGAGATGGGATAATTTCACATATTTCACTCATAATAAAAAAAACTCCTAACTTATATTTAAAACAAAGGTACTATACAATTAACACACAAAAATACGTTTGTTCATTTGAAATGTTCAATCGTTCACTGAGACTTGGGACAAATAATTGAGCGTTTTAGATAATATAGGTACTAAATTAAACTTTTATAAGATAAGATAAAATTATTTTATTTTGTCGATATTTTGAACTGTCGGTATTTTAGACTGTCGGGATTTTGGTTTCGGGTTTTTGACCATTCGGGATTATCATTGTCGGGATTTTGAACGCCTCCCACTATTAAGTAGGTACTATAAAATAGAGCAGGTAAGTATTTTGCATTTTGGTTCTATTTAAAATATTAATAATGCTAATTTATGATAGAAATAAAGCGGAACAGTGATTACCTACCCCCTAAATATAATATATTATAAGTATAGCGTATAAATTTGAACTTTGAAGTAGGTATGCCAAATTATATAGGTAGTTATAACCTCATTCCATACAATTTAAAAGACACTTTATATGTTTAAAATATTATGTTAAATTGTTAATTGATTTTCTCTGTTTGAATATGTACCTAGACAATTATAAAATCGTTGTAACTTAATCCAAACGAAATAAATGTTTTTAATTAATAAAAACAACTTAAATTGCATACATATTGAATAGCTCTTCAAACATTTCAATCGACAGCTGCTATATTATTTATTATATTATTCTATATTCTATACGGACGCTTATGACAGAATATAGATGGCATCGAATAGGTATACTGTGCTATACCTTTTACCTATAATATTATGTTTCATTCATTTTTTTATATATTGTTGACGCATTGGTCACTTACAATATAGGAAAAACTTATGACGTTTTTTTTATTTTATACGTTAGCGAAGACGAAAGGAACATAAAATCGGATCTTTTTACGACTTAGTTATAACGAAATGACCAGTAAGTATATAACATAAATTGTCAAGTATCTAAAATTCTGAAGTCGATTTCCTTTGAATACATTAATAAGCTGCAGATTACTGAAATATTTACCATAGTAATAATATTATTTAATATTAATATATTGATACGCATACCTATATGATATATTATGTATTATACAGGTACCTATTAGACCGTAAACTGTAATACTCAAAACTGAAAACAAATTTGATAATGCTATAATACTTGTATAGTTTTATACTTTCCTTAAAATAAATACATATTATACAAAAAAAAAAATAATTTGAAAATAATTTTTGGAGAAAAACAAGATTATAAAACTGATATAGTAGATACTATATGATATATTAAATTTTACCTATTAGTATGCATAGGGTTTTTTTCAGAGCTAGGAAAAACCTTAAAATATAATTTTATTATATCGATGCATTTAAACATTTTAGTCTTATTACGTAGCAAATCTACACTAGTTACAGTATACAAAATATTACTATGACACCCAAAATATCACTGATCAATTGGTATATCATATTATTATAATATTATGATTATTATTCCATAATATCATGTTATCATTACAACAAACATTTTAAACAAACTATGATACCAAATTAAACGAATATTTAACAATATTATTATATGTTATAGTAATTTTTTTTTACATAAATATATTTTTGGGCTGGATTCGCGATAAAATGTATCTGACTGATTTATGTAATATGGTGATGTATGATGTTAGTATTTTTTAAAGTATAATATATAATATCATTCGAGTGAAACCACCCCTAACTGACATCTCCAAATATTGGACTTTTTTTGGGAACACAAATTACAAACTACAACATTCCAACAAACTGAACCCTCTGAATGGTTGTGAACATTTCAGTTACTGAGAATGTCCGGTATCTAGAGGTTTCAATATATATGTTTTTATTAATAAATATATCATCCAGATAATGAATAATGGCTTATATTTTAATTCGTCACCATACAATTCACGAGAACTGATAAATTGTAATTTTTAGATATATAAATACCTATCAATATATAGCTCAACAATTTTTCTACCTGACAGTCTAAACAAAAATAATTTGCACATTTTCGTGATTTTTACGCTTTTTGTTAAAATTCGAACTTTAAATGCTTACAAAAAAAAAATTGAGACTTCGGGTTTTTAATATTTTTCAAATGGCATTGTAATAATGCCAATTATTAAATTACTTATACATAATAATTCGTTTTGCCCCCATTATACCCCAGGTTACTCTAATATATAATATATATACGTCATTAATAAAGGGGCCCTATTCTATGAAGGGTGGATAGACTTTGTCACTTATCTATTACTCTTACGCTAAAAATGTATATAACGAATAATAGGTATACTAAGAGCCTTGAATTAAATTTCCAAGGTTTTGTTACCTAACAAATAAAGTTTTATTGGCATTTATACAAAAAAATACTAAAAAAATTGGAAACTGAAAATGTCTGTAAACAGTCCAAATAAATCCAAATCTTTTGAAAATGTTATAGTGTATATAAAATATTAAAATGCTAATATAAACAACCGGAGAAAATAACAAGTATCTATGGTAATTTGTTTTAGAGTTACACCAAAAACCAAAATCGATTTTGTCGAAAACCGATTTAGCGTAGAAGTTCCCGGTTCTCCTTAATTTATTTTTTGTTTTTCTCGGTGCTCGGGACATTTATATAGAAATATTGGATTTTGACCTCCCCAATGCACCAATTACATTCCCTTCCCCATCGAACAAGACAGCGGAAGCAGGGGGGAAGGCTAACGGTCTGAAGCCCCCCCCCCATTGCCCGTATTATTATTACTTTTTCAAAAAAATATTAATCAAGTTTAAGCTGTTAAAGTGTTAACTATAGTAAGCAAGACTTAAATTTCATATATGTCTTATCAGAATGAATTCATTTTTGAAAAAAACATTGTATTTGCATACCAATTTCCATAAATTATCTGTAATTTTGCAGTAAAAGTATGAACTACTTGTATGAAAGACCTTGTACCAGTTGTACCTATTAAATTTTCTAGCCTTAGCTATACACATAATATTTTATATTTTATAAATTTTGAACTACAAATTAACTGTGGTTTTGACGAAATTTGAACTTTTAAACTCGCTTATAAAAATTGTTACAATAGCAGTTGAAAAATATTAAAAATACATAGGCACAGTTTTTTTTTATAAGCATTTAAAGATCAAATTTTGACAAAATTTATCAAAATCTCGAAAATTATCAATCATTGTAATTAATAAATTATAAAATGTTCAGTTTTTTTAGCTAAGGATTACAAATTCAACACAAAGGTTCTCATAATTAGTTCATACTATAACCAAAAAATCTAAAAAATATATGAACAAACTTATTTTTTACAGACATTTTAAATTCAAATTTGGACGAAATTACATTTTAAAAAAACTAGAATAACTATTTTAGTTATTTTGTTGTGATTGAATAATATTATTCGTGGGTACTTGAAACTTCTAAAGTGTACTATTATATATCTATGATAGTATCACGGTTTTTGTTGATGTATAACGCGTTATAAGTACCTAATGGATATTGTGATATGATTAATTTGGAATTTATTATAGGTACCTATTATAAGTCAATTTTTTGTTTAATACCATAGATATGTATATAATATGTCTTATACATAGACTGACATACCGTCACCGCTCAGAATCGTTTTTCTTATACAATGATATTATATCATTGAATTCAAATTTAATACCATCCATTATACAGTGACCCACTTGTAACCTACTGTACAGCAGAGCGACATCCACTTACCCACCTTTTTTACTTTGACCCCTTTAGTCTTAAAGTAACCAACTTTAAAATAAATTTTATTCGAAGATTGAAGCATTTCTACTGCTCATAAAGTGACAAGATTTTGTAATACATCCACTGCTTCACTCAGTATGTAAAATAACGAAAATTGTACTTACGTTTATAAACTATTACCTAATATTCATTATTAAATCAATAATTATGTCAACAGTGTTATAAATAGGCAATACCATGTATTGTATTTTATAATATTGTTGACATGGTAATCATGATTTGATTTAATGATTTATAGATATAAATTAATACACAAATTAACTTGAAACCGTTCAAAAATATATTATCAATTATTTTATTCTCATAGTTATGGTTATTATAATACAATTAAGGCGTCAGTGCAATAACCAGATAGCTCCATTTATTTTTAAAAATTATGTTTTTATACATCTAAAATAGAGAAACAATCGGACGACATTTCTGTGTAATATTGTAATAACCTGAGAGCT